AAAAAAAAAAAAAAATAGAGCTCAAACAGGAACTAAATCATCTTCAATGGGTCACATTAAGGTTCTACTTGAACTCCATTTTTAGTAAAAGTTTTGCAATAGTATTTTTTAAAGAATTTATAGTTAAAAGTTTTAAATTTACTGTAAAATTATTTTATTGAGAGAATATGTGATTAAAATAAGTTTTTTAGATAATATGACTCAAACGGAGGCTAAATTGATGTAATTTTTACTGTCATTTTGCAAATTCATCTTCAATTATAATACAAAATATTAAAACAAATTAATAGAATATTTCTTGCCAATTAGAATTGACAACTAAATATTAATTAGAAATAGTAATCAAATTAAAAAATATATAAAATAAAGTTAATTCACTAAATAATAAAAAGGATACAATAAAAATTAAAATTTATTGTAATATAAAATGAAGGGCAAAAGGGGAATAATGAAAATTTTCAAATTTTACACCAAATTGATATGGTGTTTAGCGTACCATTACAGAGGATTGTTGCACCAAATTTATGTTTTTACACCAATTTGATGTACTATTGGGGATGTCCTTAGTTGCATGCTTCTGTGTTAACATTTTAATTAAAAAAAAACACACACACACACACTCACAGTTCGTCATTTTGTTAGAGTGCAAAATGTAGTCACTTAGAAATGCATTTTCCATCTGGAATGAGATATGAAATCAAAATTGGAGTAGACGAAATATTACGACCCAAAAGCTCATCAATCTAGACTTCAACTAAAACTTAACTTCGAAATACCCTATCTTTAAAAAGAGAGAGATGGTCCAAAGGGTTTTGCTGGTGACTTTTTAACTGACGTAAAATGTTAATAATTAATGTTAAGACGACAGTAAATAATACAGAACAATAGAATCATAAAGTACTCATACTTCTAAGTTTTAAGGTTGATATTTCAAGCTCTTGTTTAGTGTGGATTAAAATCGGATTTTTAGTAGTTTCTGATAAAAGTTAATCAAATGTGTAGTTGAAAAGTTATATAGTGTTTGAGCCACATTATTTTAGAATAATGTATTTTGAAATAGTAGATTAATGAAGAATGTGTGGTTGAAAAAAAAGGAAAATTATTGATGTGACGGAAAATATTATTTTATTGAAAAATGTATGATTGAAAATGAATAGAAGAATGAAAATGAAAATTACATGGGCATATTTTGTGAAATAAATTATCAAAATTAATTATTAATTAAAATTTAGATTTTAATCTCTATAAAAAGGTGCTAAATTTCACACGAAATTCAATCACATGTTGAAACAAGTGAAGCTTTAAACATTTTTTACTTTAAAAAGTCAGATTTTTATGCAATTTGGCATTCTTCAAATATGGGTCGGTCTATCTTATCTCTCTGTCTCCCACTCACTGTTAGTAGTCAAATTAGTGTTAGGTTTAACAACATAACATCAAGATTTTTAATTAATCAGTGGGGTCCATATCAATCAGTCTGGACTGTAAAATGTACAGTCCATTACAAGGGGAAAAATTCAAAGTTTTAATTCTAAAGTGACATCTAAGCTTCTTTTATTTAACATACTAATGTGTCAAAAAATATTTTCTTGGAATAATTGATAACTGTATGATTCATTTATAATGAGGATATTGTAGATAACATAAATCTTGCCATGATGAGCCTTAGAAAACAAATCGTACACGTATGACTCAACTCACTTTATATGCTCTAACTATATTATTATTGCTCTACAAGTTTACTCGTTATTTTAATTGTACATGGTAAATGTCAACAAATAGGAAGAAATTTTTCAAGATTCGACCACTCATCTTTCCGTATGTTGTAAGTAATGGCATTACGGAAATGGACACGACATTACAAATCAAGTAAAATTGGTATCAAATCATGTTGAGCAATGGGTTATTTATTTGCTACTTTATCATATAGGTTTTACACCGTAGATGGAGACGGGAATGGGGTGTAAAGTGGTCCGGATCGAATCAGCAGGGCCCCGATTTTGAGTTTGCTTGTGTCAAGCTGTCCTTGAACCGGTACAATCCATTTATCGAGACTCAGTATAGTTGAGTCACGTTAGATCTAAGATTTCTTTTCTTTTTACTTTTGGCATAAGTTCTCTTATTGACCTTTTGTTTTCTAAATGGTGGCCCACCAAGCCATGAGTCTTTAGAATCAAGCTAATATGATTCAACAGTTAAAACGGGCCATGACTAACCCTATTTTGAAGTGATCGGCGATTTAGATTGTCCAACGCCCTTTTTGACACTTTTAGCCAATGTTTGGTTCGGATTAAAATCTAATTTTAATTCAAATCAAAATCAAACAATCAATATTAATCACATTTTTCATGGACCCCACAACTTATCAACCACACATTTCAAAAACTTTTATCACAATCTACTAAAAATCTAATTTTAATCTCCACCAGACACCCTCTTACAATGAGATGGACAAGAGATATTCTACGAAAATTGTCTTTTCAAAAACAAAAATATCTTCCCATTTTCAACCCTCCATTCAGCGAAATGATAGCAATATTCTTGGTGCAATGTTCGTAAAGATGCCTTGCTTCTTATTTACAAAAGGGAAAGTAATGGGAATAGTTGAAAGAAAAAGTCATCATATGATACGGGATTGAATTATTAAGCATCTCCCTTGTATTTTTCTCTCATGACAAATCAATTCTTAAGTATTTTGCTATCAAGATATGACGTCATCCAGCCATGATGACTTAAAAATTTTCAAAGAAAACTATGATTATATCTTCATTGCCATTTCTTTAGTAAAATTAATTATTTGCTGTAACTTGCTTTCTGAATATTCCTGGTGAAATCATGTGAATTTGAAAAGTGACTGTTTTTCATTGAGATATTTTTTGAGAGACAGTAAGTGGCAGTGTTAATGAAACAAAGTTTTCAAATATCTAATTATTCTCATGTGATGTTGACTTTTCTTCATCATCTCTCTTCGTTTTTTTTTTTTTACATATATGTCTTATTTCTGATTTGGTCCCCATTAATTTTAAAATGGGTTAATTTCACAAATGGTCACTCAAGTTATATCAAAATAACAAAACGGCCATTCAAGTTACAAAATTGCACTAACGGTCCCTCAAGTATCACACTGTTTCAAGAATGGTCACTGAAGGACCAAATGAGTTTAACACTGAAACATAAGGACCTACATCGCAAATTTGAAACTTCAACCTCTCAAATTAGCATTTGGAGAATTCTCAACAACCGAAGCTTGAGGCATGAAATTGGAATTCAATTGAATGTTGTTTCTATCAATTGGATCGTTACCCATAACCATATGAGCCTCACTTACATTAATATCAGATTAATTTGCCACAACAACATCAAGAGATTCATCATAGATTCATCAAATTTATGAGTGCCGAATTTTTTGCATGTCTCTAGCTGCTGCCATAAATTCGTCGAACTCAGGGCGAAATTGGCCATGACCCATAACTGGGAAAGCTGCGCTAGGTGAAGAGGAACAAAGCCCAGGTGGTCCGGGATTGAGGATTGGTCGGACGGCGCCGGATTTTGGGTTTTTCGCAGACTGTGTCGCGACATTTATGACGGCGAGGAATCTGCTGCAAAATTAAAATTTTCTGATGTTGTTTGTGTTAAATTGGAGCCATGGACGTGGTCGTCTAGTGATGGGCAAGGGTCCAGTGGTGAGTTCCGATCGTGGGATTGACTGGAAGTTGGGTTATTGGCGATTTTCAGATTTATTGGCAGTAAACTTTGAATACTGATTCCGATTACAGAAGTTGATGAAATTGGGAGAGGTTTGATGCTAATTGAAGAGGAAGATGAGTTCTTTCGATCGGTGCTAATTTCCGGCGGCTTAGGAGGTCGGACAGCGCCGGAATTTCAGTGCAAAATCGCCGGAAAAATGGAAAAAAGGGGGCTCTTGTCAAATTTGCGATATAGGTCCTTATGTTTCAGTGTTAAACTCATTTGGTCCTTCAGTGACCATTCTTGAAACCGGGTGATACTTGAGTGACCGTTAGTGCAATTTTATAACTTGAGTGACCATTTTGTTATTTTGATGTAACTTGAGTGACCATTTGTGAAATTAACCCGTTTTAAAATATATTTTTCTCTCTTATGTTAATTACACATTTTTCAATAAAATAATTACATGCAAATTTAAAACTTTTCCTTATTTTTTAATCACATTTTTTCTATCAAAATACTATTCCACAATGCATTTTGGGGTCAGAGATGCTCTTAATTTCCAAAAATCTTGAGAACGTTGTGTTGCAATATCTAATAAAATGGTTTGTCGCGGCCATTGAGGGCATAACTTCTAACAATTTAGAAATATTAAAAAAAAAACACACGCACACACACGACAGGTCAAAACAAGTCCATATTTTGAGAATTTTCGCTCAATATTTGGAAAAACGTGTAATTATAAGACACACCGCAAAGAGTAGAACGTGTTCTGAAATATCAGAAAAAAAGTCAATAACCAACATGTATCAAATACCAACGCTCCATTCCATTCTAGGTGGGGTGTCCATGTTTCGGAGATGAGCTCTCAAACTATAACCTTAGAACTGTTACAAACCCAAGACAGGGCAAAAGCAGCATCTAACATTGTCGACATTGTGCTCAAATTTCTTCACCCAGGAACATTGAGTGGAATATAAGCATCCAAAAGCGAAGTCGATATTTATTCAACAGGAAGCTGCTTCACAAGGCCGCGAATAAAACGATTGAGGGATCTTCTAGCACTTACGACCATAGCATCTGGTTTACCATTTCCCTCTGAACTAACCAAACCCTCTTGCTCTTGCATAGAATGTACTTTACGTAACAGTTTCCGCAGTTCCTGGAGTCGCAGAACAGGCGAATAATTCACATCAGCAAGAATAACTCTACAAGATACACCCTTAAGCACTATAAATTTTAAGATGCTACCGAACTGATTATGTTGACTAAATTATGCTGTTACTGTTACCAAGAATCCACGTCGAGAAAAGAAATGAAATCCATTCAACACCAGTATACAACATCATATTTAAATACAAACACATCTGTACACCGTAAATTATTTAAGTGCACCATAATCGAAAGCAAATAAAGTAAATGAAATTAATTGCCTATCAATTTGCAGCAAGAGCTAAGCAATTGGCTTTAGCGGTGGATCTAGGAATTCAGGTGAGCATGAGCGACTGTCCAATATAAGGAAAAAAATTCCAGGAGCCAGCATGGGAGGCTGCAGGGGCTCCCCATGCATTGGCTCCGCCCCTGATTGAGTAGATATTTTCTTATACGGTTAAGTGTGCACAAGAATCTTACTAATATCATCACCTTAACCAATGAGGTGAAATTACTCTTGATTAGTTGATTCAGGACATAAAATAATAAATAATAATAATAACAATAAAGGAAAAGAAAAACAGAAATGAGACTACCTACCCACTGCACCAGCTTTTCTTGCATGGCAAAATTTCATTTGAATTCTACTAGGTCCTAGAGGTACAACATTTAGGAGTCAAAACACCATCTTCGGGGCATTACATCACTTACCTTCCTGTTTGGAATACAAGAACCAATGAACCATAGACTACCTAGCCCTAGATGAGTACATAAACCATACCTCCTAAAAAGAAATCCAGATATTTTTTCTCATGTCAGTCTATTTATCAGACACCAGATATTCAGGTTGTAAGAAGACGTCAGCTGAAGATACCCTTTTTCACTAAAATCTGGTACAACATAGAGCCTTCGCGGTATCAGAGATCCTAACTCCACTAATTTTTGATCTGTAACTAGAAGTGCAGAATTCAGATTATAAATTATATTCTCTATCCTGCGGTAGGATTTAGTAGAGCCAACAGCCATCAAGTCCCAATGTCATTTGTTTTACAGGATTTAGTGATACAAAAGCCCGTGCACACACAAATACAGAACTTCTCCATTGGTCAAGTGTGATAGGCAAGTGAGATAATTTAAAAAAAAAATTAACACGTTGATTGATTTTGTTGAAGACAAAATTTAAATGAATAAACTTGTCACCTCTCTAACGGCGTGAGTTTTGGATGAGGTGGTTCAAAATATTTGAATTAGTGTGTAGAGTTAGTGACAAAAAATAAACATCACAAGATAAATCTTAAAAGCAATAGATCCAGAAATTTAATATCTTTTCTCAGATAACCAAGAGTTGTGTACGACTGGCGACTGCTAGTGGCTTCTACATGACACTTCAAATCAGAGGGGAGAAACTGACCTGACGATCAAACTCAACCCCTCGAAGTGAATAAATTTCATTGGTAATGCCTATGTCCTTGTTAACCAGACCCTCAAACCATCTTATTGCTATATCAACATTGTACTCAGAATCCTGTAAATAAGAAGCAACGAAAGTAAGAGGAAAAGTATCATGTTATTATTTATTTAAATTTCAAATTTTGATGAAATTGTGAGTAAATCGAAATGGATCTATAATATACACAAATCAATTAAACAACCTATGAATTGACAATAAAAACACTTTGCGAGGATGAAGTACCAAGGAACATAAACCATAATACCACCGGAAGGTAACCTGACTGTGGAGGCTGAGATTGATGATACCACCATTGATGTTGGAAGGCAGAAGACAAGATCAGGAAATGCATTTATATTGCCTAAAAACTCAAACGAATATCTTTTTCTTCTACATACAAAGAAGAAATAGAACTGGGAAAAAAATAATATGCTGAATGGAAGTCTCACTTGGGTTTTTACTTTTTACCATCAACCTAGTTAGAAGGGCAACAAAAGAGTTATGAAAATCTTAACACATAGTAATACCTCTTCATCATTCTCAGATTCAATTTTTTCTTCTTGTTGTTCATCATCTTCATTGGTTTCCAGAGTCTCCGAACCACATAACTCCTGAAACTTACTCTGGTCACCATCTTTTGTGGCCTGAATCAAACCATCCATTAATTCAGGCTCCACATCTCGAAGCAATCTTCCTACCACGGCAGTGGAAGATATTATTCACATCATTGTTAGAATATATCATTTCATGAGCATGCTTGGCTAAGCATAAAAGGTTCCTTATAAATACCTCTTCTGAAAAACATTTCTCTACATGCTTTTTTGACATGCTTAGCCAAACATGCAACATAACTACATATTATAAAGAGCATCAAGAATGCTTTCAGCTTCCCTAAACTAAAGACAATTAGACTATGTACTGAATAACAATTAAAATTATCTGGCCTTTGAATTAATCCACTAAATGCCATAACATGAAGTCATGAGACGAGATATCTTACAACTGCTGTCACTCCCAAGATTAACAATACCACTGAACAAGTCATCATTCACTAATTAGTAATCAGTACATAGATATCAGGAACATTTTATGTTTTCTTGCCTAATCCACTGAAGAAGATGAGAAACTAAGTGTATTATTTGTCATTTCTGACATGAATAGAACCTTTTCAGTCTTTGGGACTCGATCTTTGTCACTTGACATAGGCCTTTTCAACAGACCGGTGTCCTAAGAACTTTAAATTTAACTTGAGCATAACGTGAGCATGACGTACTAAAATTACAGCTTCACAAATCAAATTAGACAAATAACCTTCACAAGAATGGAGACTCAATCATGTGTGTTCCTGGGGATTTTACAAGCATCCATATTTTTCTCTTCAACTATTTCAATGAAACTTTTGGCATTAGAAGATGCTAGAAGTTATGGTTGGTCTAAAGCTTCTTATGTTAACATAAACAGGTATAGACACATTCACATAGATATGTACCCTCTTAGTTTGTCTTTACTCCATTCAATATCTATGTGTTAATATCCCAATTATCACTATAAACCTATAATCTAAATCATGAACTACAATGTGGATGGTTTTTATCTTTTGTAATGGTGCTACAATTTGATTTTAGGCCATTAATTTTAGAAAAATGAAGTGATGACAAATGGAGAGGATCCTAAGCGAAGTTGATATTTTCGACAGGAAGTATCGAAAACTGTAAATATGTACAACAAACTGAACTAGTTCCGAATAAAACTTTATACATAAAATGAATGACAGAAATCATTTAAGGTCGCTCCAACTTCATTGGAGCTTAATGTAAACACGGTATCTCAAAACTAATATGACATTTAAAATGTGCATCTGATAACAAGTATTTCTAAGTCATACATAAGTTTATTATCCCATCTTTATTTCACGTGAATCCCTGAAGCTTATATAGAGTTTTATGGTAAAATCGTGGGAATTCAAGACTACATTTCATTCCCGAACTTTTATGATACTAGAAACCAGCCTCCTAAAAATGGAGACTGACAATCCTTAAATTTTCATTGACTGAATCCCAATTATGTATTAGTTAAAATATTTAACTCCACCGACTGAGCTTGTTACGCTTTCCATCCATATTGGAACATTTAGTCTGCAAAATTGATGTCAGAAAATGACAAATCCATTCAAATGACTTCATTAATTTCTCACAAGTCAAAGCAGACATTATAGATTTTTTTTTTACCAGTATAAGCTTTATTAATCAAGAAAACACAACACATGATTCTAATTTATCATTAATTACAGAGTAAAGACTCCAAAAGTGCAAGAAAAAAATTGTTCTTTTAGGCATTGCTCACCTATATAATTGAATTGCCTTCGCTTCCCTTCTCGAACATCGCGACCTAGCCTCTGAGACAAACAATCAAACAATTTATCTACCAAAAGACATCAAAATTACAGAAAATATAACATACACCAAAACTAAAATTTATTCAGTTCATGAAAATACATGTTTATTGAGATAGATGAAACTTGAAACAACTACCTTTACTAGCATGAGAGCATCGAAAACCTCTTGTTCAAGCGACGCCACTCTGCATTCATATAAACAAGCCAAAGCCAGAGTTTATCATGATACTTCGTCATGATTTGTAACGAAGAGTGATTTATGAATGCGTAATTTCGGACAAGGTACCTGAGAATGCGTTTGATTTGAAGAGGAGAGAAATTGGCTAGTTCCATGGCCCAGCGGACGGCGCGGCGAGCCTCGCGCTTCTTCTCATTACGGCTCTTCTTTATTATATCGGAGGAGTCGCTATCGCTATCATTGGAACCGGACGGCGAAGGAAAATCACTCTGTTTAAGAGCGCGTGAGCGGAAATGCACATGGTGATTTAGGGAGGGAAGGAATGCGAAGAACGGAAGCTTGTTAGATGAACGTGGTGAAGGGAAGTGTAGGTTTAGGATACGATACAATACTGCGCCGGCGGAGAAATAGTGGTGCCACCGCTGCAGCTGTATTAGCGGTCTCACTACATGAGCCATCTCTCCGTCCTGTGCTACCCTCTCCGGTGTATGCAATTTTACCGAGTGTTCCAAAGTTTAAAAGAGTCCAATTTTGGATGAATAGCATGATACCCCGAAAACGTTTCATTTTACGATATACCCGCGAACTATTTGAAATCGTATAAAACTCATGTTTCAAACTTTTTGTGCAAAAAAACACTCATACCGTCAGCGTCTGTCTGGTGTGCCGTTAATCTTAGGGAAAATGGAAAAATAACAAAGGACAAATGCCTCAATTTATATTTTCGTCTTTAATAACACATTTCCAACACGAAGATGGGGTTTTTTTTTAATGTTCCTTATTACATTACTCGACATCACTTCGTTTTTTGTGTACATAGCTGCAACACTGGACACTTAGCTTTGATGGAATACCGACTGTGTAGATGCGGATTGGAGATTGAGTTGAAGACTTCGTGGACAACAGTGAACTCGGGAAGAAGGTTCTTCACATGCACACGACGGTTGATAGTGGAAACCAAAACACAATTTTTGAACTGAATTTTTTACTGGGTATGTTCAAGCTCTGATATTTTTTCAATTTTCTACAACAAAATGGAGGTTGTGGGTACTTCTCGTGGTTTGACCTACTCATGTGCAGTAGATCTGTGGAGATCATACCTGGGCTATTGAGATCCAGGAATGCACTCGAACAACAGTTGTTAGAATTGTAGAGGCAGAGGAATGATTTTAGATTTAGGTTTTTGGTTTTTTTATGGGTGTATAGTGATGTGGGTTTTTTGCGGAAAATAAAATTTCGATCGCCTTGCAGATGTGTGTACTGAATGGATGTTAGTGGATGTTGTGCTTTTGTGTTCAAGTTTTGTAAGTTAGATGTTCAATGCAATATTCCAATTTCATCCTCTATTTCATCTCTTATTGTCTGGTTGTTTACTGGTAATTACTGTACACAAGTCTCGTTATCTAAATTGTTTGTGAAAACCTTCCTACATATTGAATATGTTTCATAATAAACCCCGAAAATGTATAGCAATGTGCTATATAACCCTATATTATTCTAAACTCAAGACATCTAAATCTTATTTTCTATGGCTTTTGTACGAAATCAACCCTGAATTGATAAAGGTTGCGAAGCATAACCCCATAATCCCAATTTAATATTACGCACACCAAAAGCAGGACATTCACACCAAAAGTTGTACATCGACACCCTAAATATTACTAGTTAATAATAAGAATTGTTCACATTAATATGGAATACGAACAAAAAAATTACAACAAAAAATTAGGACAAAAAATAAAGGCATTTCAGTTTGCAGCTGGTGGTTCCCTTCCTCTGCACTTCATTCCGTTGTACCCATAAGTACCACACAAAGAACACATCATCACCATTCCTTTCCTAGATGGAGGTGCACCAGCAGATGCCGTTGTGTTGGATAGTGTGGACGTTTCACTTGCCTCATTTCGCTACTTCTTTTTTGTTCTCCCAGCCTTCTTAGTGTATACAGGTGGTGTCAAGGGATTGAGTCCCATTTTCGGCCATGTATCTAGGCTTGTCACTAGGGATATTGTCAGTGTATACGTCCGAACGTACACTTCTTTCTTATACACATCGTCCACGTAATTTGTGACATTCTGCATGCCTAGTGATAAAAGTGTCACAATAACATGGCTGCATGGTATACCCGTTAACTTCCACAGCCGACATGAACAAGTCCTAGTAGTTGGTCAACTGCACACAAAGTTTGAGTTTCACAGTGTCGTATTTGAAATTTTTGGTTCCCGAATAGTCAGCATATTCAGACCGCAATACAGTTGTATTTTTCTGAATAATTTTCATTATTCTTGGTCTCACGATTCATCTCCACTTGTTGCATGCCTCCATCCTTACCACGATTCGTAGCATCAAGTATATTCGAATTTCCTCTAACATTGATAAGATAGGCTTCTCCCGTGCACTCAAGATGGTCGCGTTGAAGGACTCCGATAAATTGTTCAATAGCATATCACAATTATTCCCCAATTTGAAATGCGATTTATTCCAATGCGCTACTGGCTTCAACTGTAACTAACCGTATACAACAGGGTCCAGATCGCACAGCCTCTTCATTTGTGTAGCTTGTGCACTTTAGTTGTAGCTCTTGCTACTGCCTAGAGTAAATTCTTCAATGCGAGGCCTTGTATGTTGCACTAAAGTTGTTGTAAAGATGTCGCACACGAGTACGATGTTCGGCATAATCAAATATTTGTTTAAGAACTTTTACAAGCCCCTTCTGCTTATCAGACATGACAAGTTGACAAATGTAGTCGAATATTAGAGCGAAATCAGACCCACGTTCTACCATAGGATACCGAGGTGGATTCTCCACACAGGGAGAAAACCAGACGACCTCCCACTAGAAGGACCCTCAAGTTCTTTGGAGAAGAATCTTCCAAAAGTCGAACTGAAGAAATTAGGAGCTCCTCCCATAACAGCTAAGCTAGCTACTAAGAGAATTACAAGTGTATTTGATAGATTAGGTTCTCAACACTCCCTAACACCTGTGAGTAGGCATGATGAACCCTATGTCGAACATTTAGTGGAGCGACCAAAGCTCGAAATGAGTGCATTAAAAAAACGTATCGCTGACTTGGAAGCTAAGGGCAAAGGAAAATGGAATAATACCTCACAAAACGACATTCTCCCTTCACTGAGGATATCCTTGTTGAACCTCTACCCGAAAAGTTAAAGATGCCACAACTAATGGGGTACGAAGGAGATCCTCTCGACCATTTGGACAATTTCACTTTTTTGGATGGAACTGCAAGGAGTGGTAGATCCCATAATGTATCGTGCTTTTCCACTGACCTTAGGAGATAAGGCCCAAATGTGGTAGCTACACCAAAGATCCATAAAAAATTGGAATGATTTTGCCACAGCATTCCTTACCCTGTTTGTGGGTTCAAAAGCGAGGACCACACCCAAGGAGCGGTTGGTAAGCATTAAACAATGGAAGACTGAGTTACTAAAAAGTTATCTTAGCAGATTCAACAAGCAATCCATGGAAGTTGAGAAGATCTCAGATGATGCCACAGTTATGGTTGTCCTTTCGGGGCTAAGGCCAAAAACAAGATTTTGGTGGTCTGTACACGAAGACAGACCTAGGACGTACCATGAGTTCCTAGGGAAAAATATATAAGTGTTGAAGAGGCTACGTCTGACCGAGAAGAACCCGAGCCAAATTCGCCGTCTTTATCTCAAGTCAAGGAGAAAAATGTGGGCAAGGGTTTTAGCTGCGAAAGGAGAAAAGACATAAGGGACCAAGGTCATCCTAAGCCCTATTTCAGATAGATTTTGTTGAGGTTAAAAATTGCATTAACAACATTCAAGCCAACTTAAAGGGAAATAAATACTTTTATTGACAACCACACGTGAATTACAAGTATAACTACAAGTGTGTTACTCTTTTTCTTTAAGGAGATATCCCTATCTACCGTTCTTTTCATTCCTCTTCTCCCTCTTATAGAGGGAAATCTGCAAGTGTCCGGCTGCTTCCATCTTGTCGCTACAATACCGAACGGGAAGGTACATTACGGGCATGTCTAGATTGGTTAACGAGCTTAGCTTGTCAGGTCATCATGAGTCTAACCTCACTGGTGGTCTCCAACAATTAATGAATTACTTAGGAGAGGAAGCTAAAGCATATGATTGGTAGATTTGGCTATCACTGATGTAAGATCACACATATGTCACTTACTAATTAACTGTTTGTACAATATGTCAGGAACCAATAATCATTGTGTCCCTTCAAGCCTCAATAAATATCTCAATCCGAGCTAACCTTGAATATCCCAAACTGACATTAGCGCTAGCTTATCAAATATAGGAAACTGTAGTTATTGACCTCGAAGTTCAGATGCCAACAGTTACCCCCAGGCCAGTTCTTACCTAGGTGATTGGCTGACCTTGTAAGTGATTGACACATTTTTCAATTTCTGTAATCATTATAGCAATAAATGAAGTGAACGAGTGTCACGCTGTCTCTCACCAATGAGCTATCATACACATTTAATTTCTTATTTTGGAAGTTTCATCAAAACGACGTTGTCTTGAAGTGGTGCAATTTCTTCATCCTAGGGTCCAGATCACACATCTTTATATTCCTTCCTTTTAAATAATTTTTACCTTTTTCATTTCTTCACTTTTACTTTCATTTTCTCCGGACTTTTTGCTTTCTCAAAGCATCTCATTTGCATCCTTATCTATTTTTTGAGTGAGGTCGTCCACATTCAAGTATTTTTCCTTTAATCGAAAATTCCTGCATTTTTCTTCGAGTTTTACTTCGATTATTCACATGAAATCAGACGAATCAAGGGTACATTCCTAGGGTAATCAACAAGAGGAAACAATACTTTCTTCGTCTTCTCCTTCATTTAGCTCTTCATCTGCGAGCTCGGATTGTCAGGAGGTTTTAACATCAGTTCCCATCACTTCAGTCTATCCAAAATAAGTTTTCCCTTTTAGGAACATGGATCAAACTAGTGAGAGGGAAGAAGTAGGGTCTCAGGGGCCTAGCGAGGGAAACACTCAAGAAAGGGAGGCAAATGCTTATAGGTCGGTGGTTACGGGGGGGTATGCTCGCCAGTCTGAGGGCCAAATTTGGCATCCCGAGTTCGGTAGAATTAGTAATACCAACCCCATCCGACCGAGCTGATACTCCACCAGCTAAATGTGTAGCTTTAAATTTAATTATTCTCCATGCTGGTTTAAGACTTCCTTTCCCTAGGATAATTCGTAAATTTCTCTCTTTTTGGGGAATAGCTTCTACACAACTTTGTCTTAACGGGTGGAGGACTTTAGTGGCGACCTTAATTTTATAGAACTAATTAGGCCATCCTGAATTAAGTGTAGCTCAGTTCAACTCCCTTTTTTACATTTAAAGAGGATGGGAAAAACTCGAGCTGGTGGTATGCCAGCGTTAGACCTAGGACGGGAGGTCCTTTAGTGTTATTTACTTCCTCTTCAATAAAAAGGTGGA